AAAAAAAAAAAAGAAAAAAAAATACAAAAATACAAAAATATTTAGCTTTAAGAGGGTTAGGCCTACCCTAAATTAAGGAACGCTTGACCTCGACACGTGACATCGAAATGGGCGAAATCGCCTCTTGATATCACTAACTCTCCTGACTCCTGATATGCTTTAGTAAACATGACTCGTGTGTTTTTGCTCAGTGCCTTCTGAAGCCTGATATCATGGTGACTTCGCTGAGATTCATCTTGTCCTCAAATTTTTTTTAGGATCCGAGCGCCCTTCCTTGCGACTGTCATTGCTTTTCTCCAGTTCATCGACAATGGAGATCCAGATCAGCACGAAGAGCATGAAGATAAGGCAATATTTGATTGTTGTATTTAAAATCCTTATTGTTCTCGTCTTCCTCGCCTTGAACTTGGACTTGAGCTTCTCTTATTTCGCCTGGTGGCACTCGTCCTCGTTTAGTCCTCTCATCGAGGTAAGATATTAAGGTTGATCTCGCATAAGTGACTTCCCTTGACTAGTAGGCACTGAATCTCTTTTCTTCTATAAGCCCGTAGGGTTGGAGAGACTCAAGGTTTTATATCCTCGAATGGTGCTTGATGAGAGGCAAGACTACGGGGTGTTAGAGAATCTCGTACCTGCTTCGAATCTCAACGCAAAGAGCGAGGATGACATCACCTGCGTCACTCACTCTTCCATCGATCATCTGCACCGCGTCGTCCCACTCGTTCAGGCCTGGCAGGTTTGCATTCTCATTTGGTTGCTCCGTGAGTTTCTTAACATTGGGTGCCAGGAGTACAACAAATACATGTCAATATTACTCATTGACATGCATCACCCAGATACATTTCTAAATGTTTGCACTCTGTCTCAGCTACGTCATATCGAATGGCAAATTGTAAATTGCATGAGATCCTTAAGCCTTCAACAGCTTTTAGATATCCAAATTGTGCATATAAGGCACTTTGTATAGTTTCCATCCCAGATGGAAAGTGATACGTAAGACGCTATGAAATTAGCATGCATGGTGCAGAAAATGTCACTGCACGAAATTGATTAATATTGGGTACTTCTTTACATAAATTCATCAACAATGAATGTCGTGCAAGTCGGTATAGCGTTTATGGAGAGAATGCATGTAAAATGATGCAAGAGACTTGGAAAGGATATTGTATTTGAATGAATTTTGAATTTGGAGAAAATAGCCTTAATAGAATCAATTTGAATTTCCTATCTCATGCTGCTGCCGTTTTTAGGTTCATGTGGCTACAGTAAACTTAGATGGAGATAATTTAGTAGGTATGCAAACCCGGATTATTGATCCTAGGAAGTAAAAAAGCCTTCACGAATGTTTTTTTGATTGCTATCAATGATTCATTTGTCAACCAGAATGCTTCTGTTTTTCCACAATTTAACATCCATGTGTGGTGCTTTTTGTCTAGCTAAAAGTGCACAACCATTCATGCCTTGCATTCATCTTGACTGAATGACGTTATTTCGAATAGGGCAGAAACATCCAAAGTTACCTTGATACTCTCTCGTATATCCTATAGGGACTGGTTTCCCTGGCGGTGTTCGTGTCCACCCAAGCCAACATGAACATCACCTTGAAGGTGATAGCATGTCTCAGAGAGGAACACCCACAAGTATCCCAGAACGTCACCTTTCATCTCGTATTCCCCGTTCGACAAATGGCGAATAATTCGGATATTCGGATCGATGACAAGTTATCCTGTCAGGTCCTCCTGGAGACAGTGTCCAGGATGGAGGACAGGGAGAATAATTTTAATCGCCCAGATGTGGATTATCCCCACAATCTGCTGAGAAACGTGGGTCGGAGAGCGGCTAGAACGGAGTTCGTGTTCGTAATTGACGTAGATTTGATCCCCTGTCCCGGCATGAGGGGGAAATTCGTCCAATTTGCTCAAAGAGAACGCCTCTTCTCCCGCGAGATGGCCAAACATAAGATCGCCTATGTCGTGCCGGTCTTTGAGGCGGTGTCGGGGTTGCCGAACACTCGAAACAAATCAGAGCTACTCAGGCTCTGGGATGAAGGGAAGATCCGACCATTTTACAGCAACACGCGCAGCATTGTCGTACAGGTACGACTTCTGAGACATCGCTGACGGATCATTTTGTAAATATTATCAATTAATGGTGGGGTTTTCAGTTCAATACAGATTTTCAGAGGTGGAGGAAATTAACTAAGAAGGAGGAGATCTCAGTGGGATATGAGATACCATGGAAACCCGCATACGAACCTTACCTGATCACCAGAAACTCTGCCCCCTTCTTCGATGAGAGGTTTCGGCAATTTGGATGGGATCGAGCCAGTCATGTAAGATTTTCCCGTGTTTAGTTTCTTTCTTGCTCATCGTTGATAGCCAAAGCTTGCTTCTTCTATTTTCTCTCAAGAAAGAATTGTAATCGAGCAAAGACAGCACAAGTCAGTTCGGTAACTACGTGATCGACCAAAATGAAGCATAAGGATATCTCTATCCCTCCAAAAGGGTCAAATGGTGTAATTTTCATGCGAAGGTGATCTTGTTACTATTGCCCCTTGGGAAAAACCCGTTTGTGACGCTCAAATTCATGCATGTACAGCCTCGGAAGGTTATGTAAGAAGGCAATGAGCAAGGTTTTTGGGATTGGTAACTTCACCGTCATCCTACTTTGTTATCTTACCTTCAAAACGTGTCTGTGACTTTGCTAGAGGGTCTTTGCTGCTGCGCAGTCCCTCTTAGCGTTAGCATACCCAAAGCCTTTTTGAGCCTATAATTCATTCAATGTTAAATAAAAGCTTCTAAAATCACACGGAATGGCAAATAGGCCTATCGTTTAGAATGGAGTCACACCCCCCACCACGGTAAGGTTATCACACACAGCATGGGAACGGTGAGAGAAAAAGAGATACGGTGAATCCAGGACAAAATTATCCCTGCGGTATAAATGTATGATGACAGGTCTTTTTAGAGTTAACAATAATTTTAATAAATGCGTCATCTACTCATGAAAACCTTCTAAAATTAAATTCTCTATTGCCTTGAAGGTTGAAAGCATTATAGACTATGATTCAAATATACGAAGTGAATTTCTGTATAGCTTCAAAACAATTTATTCCAGAAACATGAACACACCATTTTTTATATGTAATTACCTCAACACATTTATTCCAGCGACTGACAAGCTTTCTGATTCCATCAGGGAAAAAAGTTTTAGGTAAAGAGCGTAGCCAATTATGCACCGCATTTTGAACTTTTGTATCATCCCTAAAATTGCTTCCCGGAAGTACATTTTTAATTCGGGACCGTTTCTGAATAGTTCACACCATTTTTACACATTTTTCGATGAAAAACAACTGTACCCATACTGTGCACGCATTCTACGATAAATTTTACTTGGCCTAACTCTTTCTGACAGTAAAAATCGAATGACACTTCGCTGTTCAACAGCGGTGCAATCTGAATTCGGGGCCGCCATTTTAAAAACTGTCAGCGACAATGTTGCCAAGTTTATGTTATTGAAACTATGAGTACTACTGAAACTGACCCCGTCTCGAATTTGGAGAACTGTGAGCCCAAAAATTACCTGTTTCATGGGATACTGTGCGCACATTACTCTGATATCTTGCATACATCAGGAAACAACTCAACATGAGAAAACCAGTATCACGACTAATCAATGGTCCTCTGTCATAGAAAGCACTCTCGCTTCCACATGTTACTCCTACGCCTTTCTTTTTCAATATTTTTAACCTCAATTACCCGAAAGTGTTGATTTCTTTTATTTGGGATCCAATTTGTTAAATATCCACACTGACCTTCCACTGGTACTCATTTGCCTTAGTATGCAGTTTCAGTTTGATAATCTCAGATTGTTCTTTTGTTTAATATGTGCGTCTTTGAGATCAGCAAGGGGCACTCTTTCGAATGGTTTAAGTATTTATATTTCATCGTATTCCAGCATAAGACCAAACATATGTACATATTCTTTTGACTCACTCTTTCTCAGATAAAACTTTCTTTCTTAGACAAAACAGATTTAGTGCATATCAGCATCGAATGCCTTGTTTCTTTTTTCTTTCTTCTCTCGAACAGATCTGCGAATTACACGCAGCCGAATATGATTTTTGGGTTCTGGACAACGCCTACATCACCCACGACGGATTCAAAGAAAACCATTTTCCCCGTGTCGGCAGAATCAACGCTGATATGAAACGAGCTGCCTTCCTGCATCGGTCCTTCCGTTTCAAGCTCTCCCGCAAGTACATTCACTCGTCGAGGAAGTGCGAATCCTGGATTTTACATTTATCAGAATTCGGTCAAATGATTTCCGGTGCGATATTTATATGATGTCTCCCTGTGTCACGATGTTCATCTTTTTTTGTGCGCGCTCTTTGTGAATATATTTGGACTGAAATTTATAAATTTGAACAGGAAATCATTATTGCATTTTGCCCATGGAAATTAATGTATTCTTATCATAGCATTGCAGATATTGTGACCTCTTAGTCAACATTTTTCGTCGGTTCATCGTTGGGCCATGGCTTGAGATGTTGGCTCATATTCGGCGAATGTTTGGTCGGCCAATCATTCGCCGAAAATTAGCCAACGTAACTGAAAACGTTGCGAAAACCAGCGTAAGACTAAGTCAAAGTGGTCGTAGTACGGAGTTACTTCCCAGATTCTTATGGAAATGACTCCACTGTCTTTTTGAAACAGTTCCCTATGGTTTCTCACGAAGGTTTCAAAGGAAGAGGAAATAGACCATACATAAGAACGATATTAACTCGTAGATGACGAAAAGTGGCCTTTTTGTTGTTTGTGCTGCACCATTTTGGAATTTAAAAAAATGAAATTAGCTGTTGTTCAATTGGGCTTAGAAAGCTTGCTCCGGTATCGTTCCCCAGTGTTGCCGGATACCGTGCCGAAATGACACCAGATTTAAGACCACTTCAACCTTGGTATTAGCGTCTGGATCTTCCATTTTTTAGTGCATGAGTTATTTTCGCACCGAGTTCATGAAATGAGCATAAAATGGAATGGTGGTTGGCAGTGATTGATCGATGTGGTATGATAAGGAAATATCTTATCCAGACATCCCTGAATTAACCGGATGGCGCGCATCATGCTTATCGTGCTTCCTGGAGGCATTCCGTCCCCAGACCTATTCGATATGGTTCGAGGAACTCCAGACAGGCCTAACCTTACACGTCTTCAAAGAGATGTCACGAAATCCCAGGATTCACCTTTTCTTCGCCCCGTACGTCGAGAATTGAGTTTCTTTTGAAAGAAAAAATGTGGGCCTTGGACCTGAAGGCAGTATGTTCGTTAGGCCTAGGCCACCCAGTCACCTAAAGAAAAGAACATCTGTCTTCCCTTGGAAGGTTGGAAAAAACAAACCAAATGAATGAATTTTTTCAAAACCGTTTTGAGTACATGCATCATTTTCACCTTCGAACCGCCGTATTTGAGGGATTTCGAAAATCAAGGAATATATGGATCGAAGCTTGCGCCCTTTCTATTGGCGCATGGTAACAGAATTCTCTGTAGAGATTTGCTCCTTTCCTGCCCTCTCTTTCCCTCTCGATTCTCTTCCGGGTTAATGCTTCCCAATATTCCTTATCTTTGGCTACTTTCACTAAAGTGCAAAAAAATACAATAAAGGAAAGTGAAATAAAGAATTAATTATAAAAGGAGATAACATCCAAATGAAATTGGCAAAAGGTGAAGATGCAAGACACTGGCGAGAAACTCGCTTGTGGAGACTCATTTACAGTAGAGAAAGAATGTGGAAGAAGAAAAAGTATATTAAATTTGATGAACATTCATTGCCCCGTTAATACAGAGTTGTTGGTTTATGGATTTTCCACATGGACATTAAAATTCCGTGTGCTGAAGTCGACTCCGAATTCTCCGTCCTAAAGCATTCATATTTCACTCGTGGATTTGCGCCTCTCATTTTCAGGTTGTCAATGGCACAAAAGAATGCTGGAAGAGGAGTTCCTCACCTCTACGCAGACCTCAAGCAGATAGAATTGGATGCAGTCTTGTAAATGAGAAGGTGGCGCCCGTCGTTGTGTATATTGATCGTTAAAAAAAAAAATTTAAGTAAAACTGGCAAGGGGACTACTCATGATTAATGAAACCTTCCCCGTGATTGGTCCAAAACAGCTAATACATGGTGATCAGTCACCATGTATTTTACAAAGAATTTCTGGTTAATCGAACTACACCCCTCCCCCATGCACTCTAGGCGTTAGACCTGAGGGAGGCGTGTGCGAGTGGGCAGGGGAGAGATAGGGCGCAGAGTTGATAGGGAATAGGTGATGAATTGAGGTGTGGGATGAGGTTAATGTCGATAGGAGACATGTACGAGACGATGCATCTGGGGTTGGGAAGGAGAGAATTATCGCTTGGGAAAGGACAGTGAGGAATCCAATTAACTGGATTTAAGCTCCCTGGAGCTACTGGCTAGAGGGCTCAGACTATTTTTCTCATTTATAGCCAAGGGTCAATAAATGCAATTAATAATAATTTTATACCGAGCCGTATACTTAAACTTTACTTTTACGTGCTTCATGTATTTATAAACACAAGGGCTCGCTAGAGACATCTAGCGTCTGACGCAGTACTCTCGGGTCAGGGAGTCAATCCAGTGGTGTATCACCCCTACCGGGATCGCATGCCTTAGTCTCTTTGACAGCTTATCCTGATTGTATTTTGAGAAGCGAAGGTGCCAGTGGAACCAGACCTCCTTTGATCGCAGCGTAACAAGGAATGACTCCAACAAAAAGCAGGGATGTATCATAGGCTTCCGTTGGGCCTATATAATCCAAGCTAAACCCAGTGGAGAGGGGGGTGATGCCATGAGGAACCATACCCCAACAATAATCCGCTCACTCATTTTGACGGAGGGGCATTGCCCCCTTCATTCATTCGGAGGGGAGGGGCAATAGGCGATCCCACTCTTCTCAATTTATCGAGTGTTTTTCTCTCGTCTCCAGCATTCATGCTCGTATATGTCGTTTTTTCATCGAGTTTCGAACATAATCTCATTACATTAAACCCAGAGTAATCTAAGACATTGCCTCGAAGGTGCTTCTTTGGCAAAGGCATTGGTAAAGTTGGTGAAGTGCATGGGGAAGAAAGGAATTTCGTCTGGACCCGGTGGCATCCACGGGTCAGGCCCGTCGATTCCCAAGCTGGTTGAGTAGGCAAATGCCTGAGTAGAGTTCACCAGAATACGTTGCTACAAAGCTGTCTTGAGACTTGAACTGCGTGAAGTCGAACGTCCGAGATTGACGTAGGGGTGTGATCCATATGTCAAACTACGTCGCAATCTTGTTAGAAATATTTAATAAGCAAGGGTGTGTCTATGTTGTTCTTGAAGATTCGAAGGACCTGCCTATTTTAATGGATTAGCTCTTACCTTATCTCTTCCTTTTTAGCTCCTTCACTTTGCACTTTGTGGGGGAGGAGAGGGGGGAGGGGGGAGGGTTTGTCCTCTGTCTGCAGCTGGGAAACGAGTAGAGGCCAAATCTCTTACAACGTAGCGTCTAAAACGTACATCGTTTTAGACGTAATTATGGTACGTAGACCATAATTAGCTCATAGGCTAGCTCATACTTTGCAATGTATTGTCTTGCTTGCATGGGGACTTATGGATCATCTCTTCGAACGTGGTGGAAAATCGGAGAAGTAAGAGGGCTCTCCGAAAAATAAGGTAACAGATGATGCTATGCAAAGACAATACTGAGCATGGCGGGAATGAAGAGAGTCATGCATTCTAGTGCCGCGGTTGGTACCACTGTCTCTATGCGCTTGTGTGGAACAGTCAAACATGGCGACGCGCTTGGAGACGTGGTCAAATATCGAGGTGCGTGCGTTTTTCGCAGCGTGTGTTGTATATCGTACATCCTCGTACATCTGCTGCGAAATCCCATGCTCTTCCAGGCAGCGAACGAAAATCGAGAACATGGGCAACTTGTGGTCGAGAACGACCCGATGGGACCTTGGACACGCTAATGCAGTGCAAACAAGGATTTCATTATTTGCGTTCCGATCGTAAAGAAGCCGGAATCTTCGGGTTCCATTTTTGCTCGAATGGTAAGATCGATGAAATGAGTTTATTTTTTCCGTCGAAACATTCACCCTCTTTCTGCGATGCTACGAAGCGGCGATTATACCGTCCTACAATAGAGGGCACTACTAACTTGGAAAGAACTCGACTCTAGATCTACATGTTGGAAAGGCGATCCCCTCCCCTCACCCGTTTCTATGAGGTTTTCCCATGGAAGCATTGGCCCCGACTGGAGTGATCCACCAGCTGAGACGAATCGGAATTTGCGTTGTGACGAGGATCCTTCCGGCCCAAATCGCCTCGTGGTTCTGGTTCTCTCGAATCCTGTGTGTTTTTCCTAAACCGAAAGGCACCGCACGTCACGAGGAAGAGATTAGTCAATAATTATAATGCGTATCGCTGACGTAATCGGCGAAAACCGCAATCTTTCAACATCTGATTTCCTGAAATTGAAAAAATTATTTTTCTGTATGTCGCCTTAATTGGCTCTTCATTTCGCTTTGAAAATGCGATATCCTTTTGTGCGGTTCAGATAACTTCGCCCTAATTTAGTTTCTGGTGTCTTATTTAATCGCGGAAGGATGAAATCTCTGAAAAAAGAAATTTCATAAATTTTAAGCGGATCAACAAAAATGTCGTATCGAAATCTGTCAATCCACGTGACCCATTACAGCCATATAATATCCTTATCAAGAGTGCGAAATGCACCTGGTTGTTGCAGTTGGAACGTGCACCGAACGCCACTGAGACTGCCTTCTGCCTCTGCTCAGCTGGAGCAAAGGGAATGAATGCACCTGGCCTGGAGCACAGGGATGGGATGCACCTGGCCAGGGGCACAGGAAGGTTCATTCTTCAAATAAAACTTCAATAAAACAATAAAAATAATTCGATTCTTCATTTTTGGATGTGTTGAATTAGTTGGGTTTTTCTGCAACTTAGCAGAATTCTGTCATTTCATGTGCTGAAAAAAAAATCGTTTTTCACACGTGGAAATGGGATGGAAATGCTTAAAAACAAAAAAGGTGGCCTCTCTTTTCTTGAAGGCATGACGTAGAGTATATTTTGTTATTTTCAAATGTATTTCGATGAACATTGAGAAATGTTGATGGAGCTTTTATTTTCAGTGTGACCCTCTTCAGCGTAGGAAGCTTGGGTCTGCGTGTTTCGAGGTACGGAAGCAATAAAAACGGCCCACGCTCCGAGAGGACGAATAACAAGGCATCGACTGCTTGCATCCGGAAGGGTTCGTGGAATTTACGAGACGGGAGACTCGGAGGCGACGACAGAAGACCCACCTTGCACGTGCTGCCATCCTTGCATCCATCTCCCTCGATTGAGGCCAAGCCTCGGATGCATTCCGAGGACTGTATCTCGCCGGTTCGTCGAGATGGCGTCCGCGAAGCTGAGCCTCCAGCTGATGATAGCCTTCGGCTTCGGCCACGTGCTCAACGACCTCTGCGCCGCCATGTGGTTCACCTACCTCCTCCCCTTCCTTCACTTCGTACCGGGGTCGGAGGAGAAGGAGGCGGGGCTGCTGACGCTCGTCGGGCAGGTGGCAGATGCCCTGGCCACTCCCGTTCCGGGTCTTCCGGTCGATTCCCTAGGTCCTTCTGGAAGGCCTGAAACTGCGGACGGAGGAAGACGTGGCACCTCTTCGGTGTGTAAACACTTCGGGCTTTCGGACTATGCCGGCCGATTTCATCCGAATTATTAGCTATGTAGTCGAGAAAGCTTTGATGGGAGTCGTGCGGTTGCCCGACGAAGGGCTTCGAGAGCGACCAGCGGAAATATTTATACTCTTCCCCGTCGTGGACAAACCTGAATAATTATCTTAATTTTGGCCTTTCCTCCGCGGTTGAATTCGGGATGGGAGGCGGTAAACAAAAATATATATTGAGCATCTTTTCCTGGATTTTGCTCGTGCTGAATCGAATCTGTCATCTCATGCAACTATTCCAAAGACTAGGAAATTAAAAAATAGGACATCAATGTGAAAGCGCCTTCACGGTCGGCCGCGACGTCCCTAACTTTTCCCCTAAAATCCCGAATTTGCCCAATCTAGACTCTGACATTTGTGGACCTAACGCGAAATCCTGCTGCTCGGGGACGGTGATGGTCCTTGCAAGTTTTCCGTCCGTGTTGAACCACTGGTGCGACGAAGGAAATTTCTTTTCTACCGAGCCGTCATCATCGTCGTCTTCCAAGTCGACTCCATCGCGCCTCTTTCTTTTCGCCGTTTTTAGGCAAATTTATTTTTAAATATACATTTCTCCTTTTCTTCCTTCAGCTTGGATGGGCCGTCGTCCAAATCTCGCATTTGTCCCTCATCCCTCTTCTCACGAGCTGCAAGGACCAACGCACCGAACTCAATGCCATCAGGTTATCCCGACTCCTTTTTCTTCCTTTTCCCTCCTTATTTGTTAACGTATAAAAAAAAAACAAATTAACGAAAAGATTGGAAAATTCTCTCGGAGTTTTTTAATTCTACTTATTTGTGAAGGGGAGGCTCTTCCCACCTCCATTGAATATTGAACCGTCCCGTCCTACCCCAAACGCAGAATCCCCTTTAAAATCACTCTAAACGCATTCCCTTCGCCGATAAATGACTGAAATGAATGATAAATGACTGTCTCCGGCGTCACTATGGCCCGTCCTTTTAATTGCGTGGAATCTTATGATTCTGCGTGCCGCCTCTACTTTCTCTCCATCACGTTGAGTCGCGTCGGCGGGCGTGCAGGGTGAAAATCCGCCAAGGCGGGGGAAATGTCGGGAGCGTTTTGGGTCACGGATCGCTGTCGAACATTTCGTTTCATCATTTCGTTTCATCATTTCGTTTCATCATTTCGTTTCATCATGCAAGCGCCAAACATCGGAAGGGTGTTGCCATCTCGCAGTTCTCTTCGCATACGATCGTGGTTCGATATGATTCCTCACGGTGCAATATCACTCCTCG